TAACTGCCTGCAAACACACCCTGTAGCCATGCTGGTTTTGTTTTGGAGGTTTGATTTCTCAGAAAACAAACAAAAAAAAACCCCAAAAAACCACAAAAACCCCTAAATTACAGGGTACAATACTTCTGATAAAGTATATAAACAAGTGCATCACACAAGCACAGCAGGCAGTTCATTGCTATCATGCTTAAGTGTTGAGTTGTTACATCAGTACTTTGTCCACACAAAATACATACCCATATACATTCAAACATATTTTTTATGTGACCAGGAACACAGCAGGTACCTCCAACTTGGATTTCTTTGCTTAGCAGTTGGTAGCTTCACATTTTCAAGAACAGCCTGTGAAGGCCAGGTGTGTATAACAAAGGTATCGCAAGAGAGATGATTTCCAGTGAGTGACTGGAACAGCTCATTACGAGCAGGTTTTTCTGATCATGAACAAACCAGGACACTGTTGTGCTCCCTGTGCATGTCTGGTGTAAGTGAAAACCAAATCAGACCTTAGGGCTTAAAAATTTGTTCATTTTTATTAATACAGCAAGAAACACTACTTGTCACCTTTGATGCCCACAACAAGATCTGCTGCATACTGGCTGTGTTGCCCCATGGCAATTTGGACGTTGTATACTGAAGGCAACAGTTTGCATTCACATCATGTGATTAATGAAACACAATTCTTGGTAATCATAGAAACTGCATACTTTTACATATTAACTACCTAGCCCCACACTTGCTTCTGTCAATACCAGGAGCAAAAATCCTGTTGAATTCACCTTCCAAATATCAATTGTTCTACAAAGCAACAACACATTTTATTTACACTTTTCCAAGGAGTTAGATCCAAACCAACATTCTTCCCAGTCTGTTTTAAACTGAATAGCCACATATATGGGGCATATGAATACAGCAGACCTTTTGAAATGTGAAAATATGCAATTTCCCCCAAGGCTATAAAAATCAGTGGGAAGGCCAAGATCAGAACTAAGACATTTTTTGCTCACAGCCACAGACTCCACTTTCTGCAAAATGCTGTCTACTGAGAAACATGCTCAGAGCATCCTTTGGTTGATGTTCCTTGTTAGTTTGTACAGAATTGCTCTGAGACCGATTTTTCCACCTCATGAGATGAAGTACAGAGAAACACTTCTTGAGATGATTTTTAATGGGCACATCATTAACTACTGTCACAATAAAAGGCACTTTACATTTAGCATCATAAAATTCCAGCCTTGATTCTCTCCATGATTTTTTCCTCTGAATAGGCCTATTTTTAATTGACATATTTGCTACAGTAGGTACATGTTTCTGCTTGTGTCTGTCTCACATCTTTACACTGTGTACAAAGCTAACTTAACATGTATCTAATTCATTTTGCACAAACTTGCAGGCAAATCCTATGTCCTTTCAAGCAACACACGGTCAGTGTTGTGCACTGTGATTAAATAGCTGATGCATATAATACCTCATTATGAAACACAGCCAAAATTTTGTCAAGAACTGCATGATTGAAAGAGTGGAGTTTGTTTATTGTGGTTTGTTGTTGTTTTTTTAAACTTGAATCCTGTACTTTGCTGATATCTTGCTGGCTCACCAAATGCCAACATCTACTTCCTACCTCTGGGCAGGGTCAATCCTGTCAATCAGATGATCAATGAACTATCACAGGCACTCAGATAACTCTGCAAATCACAACCTGTCCACTTTAACCCTCAGGCCAATTCAACAGCTCTACAACTCTGTGTATCTTAGAGTCTAAGAGCCAGTGTGGAAATCTTTTCATTACCACTGTTTCTTCTTAAATCACACAGAAATGACATGCTTGGAAAAAAGATGGAGATTTGTTTCCACATAAAGTTATTTCCTGTGAATGCTTTCACACATCCTCTGCCTAACATGATTTTCATGAAAATGAAATATTGTCATAAAAAACCTGCAGAAAGCCATGTATATTACCCAAGGGGAATTACACTGCAATGGTGTTCTGCCAGTTTACTCTCAAGTCTCCTCCTCCTCACCCATCCAAGTCAAAAGGAAAAGGCACCAATACTTAAGGGTACTAAACAGCAGCATTCAAACTTCTCATCGTGTTAATGAGATAAAGAATTAATGAACAGGCACAAATATCATAGCATCATTCATCTTACAAGCAAGCAATATTCACCATGCCCTTACTACCTGTGCCCACCTGCCAACGTTTCACAGAAAATAAAGCTACAGTCAATCAAAAATACTGTCAGGTAGAGCTGTTTATCACATTTGTTTCCAGGTTCATACCTTCTGCTAAGCCATCTAACTGAATAAAGAAGTACTGAATTATAAAAATGAAAAATTATACTACACTAAAAGGAGGCTTTAAGCTTTTGTGATTGCACAGTGCGTGGAAATCTATCTTGGCCCATTCAGACACTTAAGAAAGTTTCAGGGGGGAAAAAAAAAAGAACAAGCTCAGAAATCTCTGATGATAAACTAACATTTTTATATATTGCCCTTAATTTCCAGAGTTTCAAAACTGGATTATTGCAGTAGTCCAGATGGATACATTCACTGTGCTAATCCACTAAGTTCAGTTCAAGTTTATTATGCTAAATACACTCCAAGAGGATTTTATCTTTTACCTGTACCTTCCTGTGCTCAGTGAAACTCTTCTATTCACCAAGTATGAGAAGCACAAGATGGGGTGAAACCTGCCTTTTTAATTATCTTGTACCACAGTGGCCCCACAATGGAGCTGAACTGCTCAAATTCTCTTATTTTAGAGCATCTCATTACCTATGGAAGACCACAAACTGAAAGAAAAGGTATGCTGAGCATGCTATTGATTACAGCTATATTTGTCATGATTCAATAAGTTGAAGTTTCATATACCAAATATTAAATTACTGAAATTATATCCTGGCTCATCTGCATCCATTTTTATTCACTTTTATTTGGCTGAACATTTTAATCTTACTTACACAGTGACTAACTAAAAGTAAACGACGCATTCCTAATATTATAAGTATGAAAAATAGGGTGTGCTCAGGGACTGCAGTTGAATACATTAAAACCACTCAGTTTGCTAGTTAACATATTTCCATCCCTTTTATGTACAACCTTTCACATTCAGTTGGCAGACTGAAAACTCTTGGCCTTATAAAAAACACTGTCTTGATTTTCTGTTGTGACAGCAGAAATTGTCCAAAATACCTAACAGTTTCCCTAAAGGACACTCAGTAGCTGGTACTTCCCAGGTGCAGCACAATCTGAATTTGAGGTGAACATCATGTCAAATTCCACTCATCTGTCAGTGTAGTGGATTATTTCTTGAGAGACTGAAATTGGCTGCCTGGGATCAGAACACCATCAATCTTGTTCGTGTAGGGTGTGGAGAAGCTGCCTGAGCCAGGCTCGCAGGAGGGAAAGCTTGGCTGCTTCTAAGTAGGTGATGAGGCAGCTGTAAAACCTTCACTCTATCTGTAGCACATCTCTGAGTGAAAGATTTTGTCATTTTTCACATTTCCCCAACATTTGGTATGCATTCAGTGTCTTGCTGTTCTTGCTTCATAAAAAAGGTGATTTTTCAAGCTTAGGCAAATGTTGCTGAGCTCTGGATGTGCCCAGCTCTCATTTTTTCTCATAATGTCACTTGTTTCAACTGATTCCCTAAAACGATATTACATTTTCCTTTTACATATCTGTTTAGCTGGGCTGGTTTTTCCCCATTTCCTTCACTAAGGACAGACTCAAATAACCAGCAGCATTACTGACAATTGCACTGTAATAAATCTCTGCAAGTCCCAAATAAGACCCTCACCACTCAAACTTCAAACACCTTCAAACTTCCAGTGTCAGCTAGTAAATAGTCTTGGTTAAGCTGATGTTCTAAGATGTGCATTGAGAGCTAGGCTAGCAAAGATTTTCCTCTATCCCTCTATACATGTTTTATTACAAGAAAGCAAGACAATGCCAATATCTGTGACTTCTGGGCAAGAAATGTACTTGGGAAACTTTGAGTTTTAAGGTTACTAAAGCCCTGTGATTCAAGACCATCTGTCTTTGAAGGGATGTCATGAGATCAAAAAACATTCAAGTATTAATTGCCACATTGTTAAATGATTCATCACTGTGAGTTAAGATTTTCCATCTTTCATTTCTACGTCTCTTAAAACCTTTCCCACCTTTCTTTGGATCCAAATTTGTTAAGTGACATTCTTGGTCCATCTAATTTTAACCAGATGATAATACTGTGCTAGAATATGCCAACACCTCAATTTTTAGCATAGCACATTCTTCAAAGTGCAATTAACAGTTGAAAAACTTACATGATCTATTTCCATTAATAAAAACACAATAAAACCACTGATGTGCTGTCCCTGCAGATCCAACAGTCAAAGTCAGCTCTGTTCTCCACTCTGATTTATTCTGATTTATAGGCATTTAACTCCACTGAAAGACAGTCCCAAATTCTCCTCTGCGCTGCACTTTTGCGACCCCATCAATTTTCAGAGGTAAACTTGAGAACCTTAAAATAAGTGTGACTCATTTATGGAAACATCTGACCTCCAGTAAACACAGGTGACTACAAGTGAGATTTGGTGCCAGCGTTTCAAGTAACAAACCCATACCCAGTTTGGGTCAGATAACTGCAAAGTTATCCTAACCTGTGTTGTCACAATGTCTGAGTTACACACCCATTCCAGAACTTCACCAGGTGAGGAGAAGGGGAGATAGAGATAAGGACACAGAAACCGAAAAGTTATCCAAAATGGGATGCCTGTGTTGGGAAATTGTTAGAAGATGACATTAAAGGATGACTATTCCAACATCGGATTGGCAGAGCAACAACACACATTAGACTGACCAAAAAAAACCAGATGCTGTGCAATATAAAGGCAAGCAACTCATAAAAGTTAAATGATAAAAAGAGTTTTGATTACTCAGTCATTTATCAAGACAGACACGAGCACGGGCAGAGAACCTGCAATCTCACGGCATCCCAGAGCTGAGCTCAGTCCTACCTGGTCTGTGCAGGTGATGCTGCTGGAAAGTGTGATGGAGGGACCCCTGACAGAGCAGCATTGCACAGGCACTTATCCACAAATACAGGACCCAGGACATTGCAGAGACCACTGCCATTCTCTAAACAAAATATTAGACAGACATTATTACCCAATGCCTCACAGCACACAGAATAGTCAGATTCCATTACAACAGTATTTTTTTTTCCTTTTTCACTCCTTTTGCTAAATTTCTTTTGATTATTATTCCCCCTGCAGGATGCAATTCTTATACAGCAAAGGCCATGCCCAAAAAGGACAGCTGAGGTAACAAGACATCACGCAGGAGCCTGGATAACTTTAATAATTCAGTGGTAAAAATCAAACTGTAATAATCTGAGGACTAAAAAAGCCACAATGTAAAAAGAGGCTGGAAAATATTCCCACACTAATCCATAGTTGTATTTACAAGGGAGTTAAAAAATATACATTAAATTAAAAAAAAAAAAAATCACAGTGTCAGCTGAGAAACTCATGATGGCCAGGCAGTATCAAAGCTACTTTAAACACATTACAAAAAGGCATAAAACATAAAAACATCCTCAGCTATCCAAGATGAATTGTAAAAATACTCCATTCCCAAAACTAGACAGCTGATGCTGACCCAGAAGCTAACAGTTTATTGTTTGTTTCTTTACTTTGGCAAGCATTAATTATTAATCATGCTTCTGTCTATCAAACAAAGCAATTGTTTCTCAAAATTATGTTCTAATCCTCAGAGGAAATCAGCTTTCTTTTGTTCAACCTGTGCGTGCACAGGGACCAGAGTATGGCCAGACTGAATTTCAGATGGATTCCATAGAAGATTTGATGCTTTCTCAAAGCAGATTGTGTCAAAATTTTAAAAATATTCCCATTGCAGAGGGAAAGAGCAATTTCTTTGTCTGCTGGTGCTGCTGTACTTGGCCACCCAACACAGACAACCGTGTTTTTTCACACTTGTGATCAGGGCTGTACTAACTGGCTAAATTTCCCTCTGACTTGTTAACTTCAACAGCTCTTTCTCAAAGCCTGCAAGGACTGGGAGGTTTGCAAGGCTCAGCTACGCTACACATCGTCCAGTTCCCTTAACAACACCTTCTGCTGCATTTCATATTGCCAAATTAATCAAACTTCAGGCACTCTCCTCGTTCAGCCAATGACAGGATGCTATTCTCTATCTAATAACCCAATCAGCTGAACATCATTTTCACAGAGCAAGAAAGACTTTGAAAGATAAAATCTCTCACATGGAAAGACCATGGCTTCGCTAAAAAAAAAGAAAATCAATAATAATAATAATAATAATAAAAAGTCTGTATGTGATATCAGGGGGATTTCTGCAGTATGAAAATTAACAATATTAAAATAGTGAAATACAGTGGTAATAAAATATATGCATATGACTTTTTTTTTTTGCCCCTGATTTTAAAGCAGCACAGTCTCTGGGAAGCTTTCTAAGCCTAATTAGCTAAAAAGAACCACGTGAACTGACAAGCATAATTATTAGAGAATACCAAAACATTATTTTGATCAGCATGAGGCTCTTCCTTTCTCTGTACTGAGTGCTTGATGCACTGCTTAGTGTATAATTAATTTCATTTCCAGCTGTTTGCTTTGCAGTATATAATGCACTTTTTCTCCTCTCTTTTTAGACCTATTTATCTTGCAAAATAGATTCAACCCCCTCAGACCAGGGAGCTCCCAGTAGGCTTCCAGTGTCTTCAGGAATTAACGCCTTCTTGTCATATTTGGTGCTCCCATGCTTTTTATACCACAAGGTAAGAGGGGAAAGGTGAACTCTCACATAGGGATATTTCAGCTATTCAGGTTATTTAAACTGAACTTTAAAAATCCCAGTCAAAGAGCAAAGAAAACTTCCACAGCCTGCTAAATGCTCCTGTGTCTTTCCTCCGGCATCATATTCTTAGCACATGGACAGCAGACTTACTTAACCCTCTCAGCCTTAATGATTAGCTTTTTTTTTTCTTTGTACAGAAAATCTCTCTCAAACTGCTCTATTTCAAACTACATTTGCTCAAACACCAGCATTTCTCACAAACATTTCTTCACGCACTTGTTTGTAAGCAAGGTGCTGTCACATACACACTTTTACATACCTATCATTTTATCATTAGTAAAGAAACAGAGCACTGAGTATTTTCCACTTATTATCTGATGAGTTCCAGATCTGATTTCTGAATCTTAAATCCTGAAGAAGCTCCTTACCTGAGTAATCCAACCAAGAGCAGAGCACTCTAGTAGTGTTCATCGGAAAGATCTAATACTTTTTTAAATCCATCTGTATCACAATAAGGGATTTTTTTATAGCTTCCCAATAATCTTCTTTATCAGGATTAAAAGTAGAAAAAAAAAATAAAAATCTCTTTTTTGTTACAAATCCTGTTTCCAGAGTAAAGAAGACATCTGAGATCTCAGACTGCCATCAGAAAAGTGGCCAAGGTTTGAGGGGTGGAAACCTTCTCATTTTCACCTTTAAATCATCTCCTAGCATCACCTTCTGCTTGACGAGACCTTTGAAGTGATCTTGAGATAATTTGCAGCTTCCAGGGTACTTAAAAGGCGAGGAGCAGTCTGTGTGTGAGGGCAGAGCAGCCTGACTCCGGCGCGGGCAGTGCGGGGAAGGCGGCGGTTCCGACACTGCTCTACGATGTTGGAAGTACCGGAGCCTATTTCAATACATCCCTGCTCGGGAAAGTATCACATGCCTTAAAGCGACACAGCCCTCGGTGACAAGCCCCAGCCAGGCGCTCGCCAGCGACTGGAGCTGCATTTAAATACCGGCACTGAGACTGTGCCCGGCGCGGAGGAGCCGCCGCTCCGGCTGCGAGAGGCAGAGTGAATGAATGGGCAGGAGGGTGGACCAGCGCCGGTGGGAAGGCAGAGCTGATGGAGAGGTGAGGGACTGAACAGCCAAGGAGCGATCTGGGGACGCGTTAATTCCGCCGGCAGAGGCTTTATTCCCCGGCGTTGTTCTTGCACTTATTCACAAGAGGCAAGCGAGACTTAAGGGAGTCTCCTTTCTTTCACAGAGAGCAGCACATGCTTGTGAACGGGGAAGGGTGGTGCAGGGAAAGTGCAACAAAACACACGGGAGCACAGGAGATTCCTACACGCTTCCATGGGCTTTCCAAGACCTTCCCACAACTCTGAGGGAAATCTGTCCTTCCAACTCCATCTCCAATGCACCTTAGCAGACAATGGGGAAAGAGCTCTGATTTATTCCTACATGCTAAAGCTCAGATATGCCAGATTATTTATTACAGTTATTTATTCTCCACATCTTAAGTGGCCATTTACAGGAACAGAGTGGTTTCCTCTCCCTCTTGCACCATATGTAATTATTTTTTAAAGAGCCATTGTATGGACTTAGTACATACCATTCACTTGGCATTGCAACTCTTACCTCTGCCTACAAAAGAAATAAGGCTTAGAGACAGAACAGAAACTTCCATTTTAAGAGCTCAGGATGAGTGTTATAGCACAAGGTGGGATTTTTTTTTCCCCCCTTGATGAGCTGTGGTAGAAGTGTGTGCCACCTGCACTGCTTACCAGCACCAGGCACCAAACAATAGTAAATAATAACAGTAATAAGCACCCTTACTCCTAAGTACCTCTTTCTCAGCACCCAAGGACATATATCTCAGTGGAGACTCTCACTGAGAGGTGCAATGAGTTTCCTTGACAGATCACACACTCCTTCAGAGCTGCTGTACTTTATTGGGCAATACATACTAAGAACCTGACCCTGCAGACCAACAGGAACATTATACTGGTCTCTGCCACAGTGTTCAGAGCAGCTCTTTAATATAGCCTTAAAACAATAAAGCAGTGGGTGGCAGGTGTGTGACGGTGACACAGGAGAGCACTGGCACACAGACCCTCCCCACAGTGGGGCTCGTGCCAGGTCCCTGAACAGAGCTGGGAAAGAGAGGGTGGCTCAGGACAAGCCTCATGGTGACCAGCATGGTTGGGGATGTAACGATCTGCTTAATAAAGGTTTTCTTGTTTTCCTGAAGAATTCCCTCAGACACTGGAAGGCGGCCAACAACTGGGGCAGTTACTATTTTCTGGCCTGAGAAGGGTCTAGAAGAGTCAAAAAAAGCAGATGATAGACAACCAAGTACCATGAAGTACTGATGAGCAAGACACCTGGGCCTGGGATCAGGCACAGCCTGTATCAGGAGGTGGTGAATAGAGGGCTGCTGGCATTTGCTGCCAAAACCACAGGGAGGCTCAAGACTTTCCCCCTTTCCATGGGAATACTGGGAGCTTTCTGCAGCACTTAAGAGGGCAGGTGATGGGAATTTATTTAAAAATAACACCTGTTTAAAATATGTTCCCTTTAGGACTTGTGGGAAGGATAGAAGGGAAAGGGTAAGGAGGTGGGAGTTGTGAAGAAAGATGAGGGAGAAGGGCCTCCAGAAGAAAAGATAATCTTCTAAGAAACTGAAAGGCCCTTGTAGAGAGCAGGAAGAATCAGACAAATTGTGATCATACACCTGGGCAGACTAGGCAGAGACAGATTTATGCAAGATACAGATTTATGTAAGGTACAGCACAATTGTCACTCTGCCAAGCACTGCTAACTCCCAGCTCCACGAGGCTAATGCCACCTAACCCCTGACAGATGCTGCTATTGCTCAGGACAAGCTCTGCAGAAACATGGGACATGTTGCTTCTGCAGGGTAGGGGGGAGATCAGAAGGACAGAGAGAATATTAAACAGGCTGTGCTTGCAGCCTCTCCCCTGCCCTGGCTCCCAGCATCAGACAGGAACACAGGAGTCCTTGGCAAATCTTGCAGAAGCATCCTCACACCTGTTTTGATGTCTTTGCTGCCAAGTTTAACTTTCAGTGGACCAACAAGACACAAAACGGCTCCTCTTACCCTCTTTGCTAAGCACAGTGTCATCTTCACCTGATCCTTTGGGGCTTTATTTCAGCCTCCTCACTTGGCTTTGACAGAGAGGGGATGATACTTTACATGTGCCCCTGGGCCTGTACTCAATTGTGGGGCTACTGACACACTGGAAAAAGAAAATAAGAAGGAAAAATAAGACACAAGTGAGCAGCCTGCACATTTTGAAATCCTTTGTTATGAAAACGGAAGGCTGAAAGAGTAATTTGTCTCTAGATAGAGGGAAGACAGGACAAAAGGTTGTGTCAACCATTCTGTGCAATGGTGTCTCCCACCAGCACTGGGGCAGGATGAATGCACGCCCTGCAGAAGGGCAGAACAACCTTTGGGATACATGGTCTATGCCTGACTGCTGGAAGGTGAAGTGTCAGAAGGAGGTCCTTCCACCCCCACTCTGATACCTGATGGCACACAGAGGAAAGAACAGAGACCAGAGGCTGAGCTATCCCAATTGGAGAGCATGGAAAGCTGCTTTTCCACAGCTCTGACTGAAAGACTCCATGGGGTTGCTGACACAGTTGCCAAAAGCAGACACTGGCATGATATTTCCAAGGTGAAGGTGGGTTGCAGGAGGTCAGCAGGTATCCAACTGTCTTTGAGACAATCTGCCTCACACACAAGGGCTGTGTGCACAGGGAGAATAGCCTTTTCCCTCCTGATTCTACCATTCATCTAGAGATGCCAAGTGAATGACAAAAATAGGCAAATAAAAATAAATGCTCTTCCCTGCCTGAACCTCTATTTTTCACAATTTTCTGGGCACACAGAAAAGGAGAGCATATGCAACTAAGGCAGGCTCATGCAGACAGCAGATTGGTGCTTGCACCCAAAGAGGGGCCTCTGGCCTCTACTTTCTGCATTCTGCCTCCTCTGCCTCTCTCTCCTCCTCCCCCACACACTCCTTTTCTCCATGTAGAGATTGAACACAACACATCTCAGGCATGTATTTCACAGGGTCTGGAGAAGGCTCACCACCTTGGAAATGCAAAGCTCATTAGTTCTAGTGCTTCTGGGACAATGAAGCTTTGCTTTTCACAGATTGTGTTCTCCATCCCTCCCAGCTGCTTCCACCCACCCCTAAAAAGCTGCTTTCCATATCCCAAACTCTGCCTTGGCTGCTGCCTGGGCAACAGGCACTGTACACTGCAGTTCCTCCCTACCAAAGTGTTCCTACTCAGGTGAGCCAAGTGTAGTCTCACAGTAAGTTTTACCTTCATTCCACCAAAAGCCAAATTTCTGACTCTTTTGTCTTTGGTTCGCAACATTTGTGGAAGCTTTTTAAAAAAAAATCTGACAGAGCAGAAGTTTTTCTTGGCCCTCTCACCTCCCCACACAGCTCTTCTTCCATTGAGAACCAGCCCACGTGGAAAACCAGTAGCTGAGTGTGTGAAGATTGAGCTGCCTACATGTGATTGCCTGAACAGCAACCACGAAGCCCAGAGTAAAACCAGCCAAGAAATCCTCAGCCAGGGCCCAAAGCCTCCTTGTGTTTCTTGCTCTTGGTTGTTTTTCTCCCCAGTGGAACAGGAAGCATGAAGAGTAAAGCAGAATTACTTTGGTACAGAGAGAGTACAAGTTCTAGGGTTCCCTGGACATCAGCTGTGGGTGCAGCTTTGCCCTAAAATACTTCTAAGCCACATCCAATGTGTATGAGTGTAGCAATGTTTGACATTCTATGTGCACTACCCCTGTGCTCAGCCAGGTGCTCCACTCCCTGCCAATCACTTCTTATATATTCCCAGGAAAACATTTCGTGCTCTGAGACTTCCAGTCCCCACCACTTTTCTCCCTCTCTTGTAGGAGGTTTGGTCCATCCTCAGGGACCCAGCTGAACCCATTTCTTTTCCTGCCTTTCCTGTGTCTACCAGGACAGCATTAAATCCTTTCATCTGTATTGTCATGTTTTTTTTTTTCTCCTGTGGCTTTTCCAGGGGCAAGAGAAGATGCACTGTTTTTCCTGGAGGTAAACACGCTGACCATGAAAAGCTTAGCTAGGAAGGTACACAATCTTTCAAGAAGGAAAAACATCAAGGATATATTTGATGATTTTTTTTCCAGCTGTGACCACAGCCTCTGCTGGCCAACACAGACCACACACACCAGGAGCCTGAAGCAGCAGAGCTGAACAACATGTTCAGGGAAACCACTGACCATGGGAACCCAGGGGCTGGTTCAGACAGTTGTCATCCCACTTCAAGTACAGGGGGCTGGGAAATTTGCTCTGTTTCCAGCACAGGTGCAGACATATGGGTATGGAGGACCAGCCAAGGATACAGTAACAGGGAACAGCAAAACACACTCAGTGGAGACGCTCCACCTGCTGCACTTGGCACCCAGACCTGGCAGCTCCTTTCCACATCACTGCAATACCTCTCTCCTTGCTGCCTCAGCCACACCAAACTTGCTTGGCAGAAGCAGCAGTTTCATCAGCCACCCCTAAATATACAAGGAGGATCCAACCAGGGAGATGACATAACCAAAGCCATTAGGGGGAAAAAAACCCCCAAACCACAAGAGCACAATAAGTAGATTGTACGGGAAAACAAAGAATAAAATAACAAGTCTGAATACTGACAAAAGGGCCAAGTGAGAGCAGAGCACAAAAGGAAGGATTTTCACAATTATTCTTCCCAGCCTACCTTAAATATGCTGCTATTCCTTGTTAAAGGGATGTCTAGTCTTCGCAATTACTGTGTTTGGGAGGTAACAATTCCACTTTTTGCAGTTTTCCCATGCCTAAGAGAGGAGAGAAAGAAAAAAAGAACACATCTATATTTGTCAGGGAAGTTTATATCAGAAAAGTTTGTGTCCTAGTTATTTTTAAAGTATGTAGGACAACACACACAAAAAGTCTCAACCCTTATCTATAACTTGTCATTAGCTGACAAGATGACAAGATCAGCATTTGCTAAGGATTAACAAGAAGAATTATCTGTGCAGTACATTATCATCATGCAAAAATAAAAAAAATTCAATAGCACTCAATATATTTAAAATATTACCAGAAAAACATGAGTGGGCTCTGGATATCATGGCAGGTAAACATAACCATCACATAATGGAGACAAGTTGTGTATT